AAACAAACTAAAAAAAAATAGCACAGCCACGAAAACGATAGAGAACCTAAAAAAAAAAAAAAAAAAAAAAAAAAGGCTAAATGAAAAAGATTATATCTTAGAGAATATATAAACCAAAAGTATAATTATAATCTAGCTTTTTAAACTATCTGATCTGAGAGCTTAATGAAATTTGAATTGAATATCAAAATAATAAAGATATATTGTAAAGTTAGTATCAAGATTGAAATATACTCTACAAGGATATAACAATTTAATAATATACTCTAACTGCAAGTATTGATCTCAGCTATAGCAATACTAGTTCAGTTGTAAGAATGAGATACAAAAGATTCTGAAAAGTTTAATACAAGATCAAAGGTTCCTATATAAGTAAACTGCTTTAAAAACTTAGTAGTCATAATATATTTTTACTAACATTAACCAGGATCATTGATAGAAAGAGATAGATAAATGAATACAAGAACTAGAATATTTAAATAAGAAACCTACAAGCAAATTTCAGATATAACAACTAGTATAGAACCTTCAGGCAGACTACTTAAATTAGACAATAACTAAAGTTGTATAAGTGACTAGTTGTACATTCTTTTCATAATTGCTCTCTGTGGTTGTAATACAATCATTAACCAAATATACTATTAATAAAATTCTGGGTTATAAGTACTCATCTTAATATTTAAAAAAAAAAAATTGCTAAAGTTAAAAAAAAATAGTAATTTGTAAAAATTTAAATATGCTTAGAAGAATTTAAATAATTTAATTGATGATTAAAAATTATTTTAAAACTGTATTATTTTAATTTAATTATATATTTTATACAATTTGTAATATATATGTACAAAATTGTGTAGCTTAGGTTTAGGTTACAGATAACTTGTCTGAGTTTCTAATCTTTATATCTAGTAGACATAAAATTTAAATATAAACTCTTTTGTATATTTACTTATAAAAAATTTAACTGAGTTTTAATAAAGATAGAAGCATAACCTTACCTTAATATTTAAAAAAAAATTTATGTAACTTAATAAAATAAATTATAGATATATACAGTCACAACTTCCATATAAACACATTATCTATATAAACATATTTATTGTTTGAACCAACTACTATTAAATATATAAAAATAATTTTCTATATAAGCACATTATAAGTATATGTTTTATATAAGAACAGTTTTTGTAAGTCTCAATGATGTGATTATATGGGAGTGTGACTGTATTAGATTTCTTAGTTAATATTATCTTGTAGAAAATACGAGATAACACTAGACAATAATTGTAACCATATAATCTATACTTGTATCTATAATTGCCGCCCAAATCCCAAACTATTATAGTTTGGGTTTGTCCACGCCCAAATTAATACGTATCTCAAAAACTTTATTAATAATCTTTATTTAAACAAATAATATATATTCCTATAGCTGTATATAATATGTCAAAATTATTTATTGATTTAATTTTTTATAAAAGCACTTTGTTTTTGGGGGTTTGGGATTTGTCCAGGATTTGCCAGCAAGTATCGTATCGGTTTGTTATTACTAATTTTAATTAAAAGTTAAATTTCAAGATTTCGGACATTTTATTGATCTGTTCTAGTGTTTGGAACCGGTTTTATTTTTCTTATGCTAAAACCGGTTTTAATCGGATTTAACATAAGAAAAATAAACCCGGTTCCAAACTCTAATCTGTTTTCTCAAAAACAATTGATACAATATTTTCACAAATTGATTTTATTATATCATATGACTGGTACCGCTTGCAAAAATAAAATTTGAAGTGTCTATATTTATAGTGATACATATATAAACTTGGTAACCTAATATTAACGTAAAATTTATTCTAGGCAGGTATTTTTAACCACATACAGTTATTTCTTCTAGAATTAGGTTTTGTTTGGCTTGTCATATTGTAAACTTTGGCACCTTATCTATTAATATTAATAATCTATTTCCAAAATTAGGTAAAAGCAAATTTCATGTTCCGTCCATTTATAGATTAATGTATAATTACAAGACGGGATTTTAATGTTAAGATGCTTCCTTCTTTCCGTATCTAATTTAGTTGGATTATAATAAAATAATTTTTGAGGAAAAATGACAATTATTACCAATAAATTTTTGTGGATTGCACTAATCCTGTTTACGTTCTTTCAATGTAAGGATTCGGATTAAGAAACAAAATGTACAGTATAAAAATTAACTAACTTTTTTAATAGCGACAATCGGTCAAACCTCCTATTGTAGCAGCTATGCTGATTATTGTTTCAATATTACTCTCCCTGATAAAAACTTACCCGATGACCAGAAATGGGTTGAGTTTCGTCTAGAGTCTCAATCAACTGCCGGGTAAAAAATTTATGCACTGCTAACCTCTAACCGAATCCTCGGACCTATTAATAAACTGAAGAAAGGTTAAAAAGTATAAATAGTGTTTAAACCGAACTTTATAATAAAATTTAAGAATTTTAAAGTACGGTTTAGATTATCCGGGTTCGGTTTAGAGAGTGGTATTTTTATTAGCGAAGTTATTTCTATTAAATAATGATATTAATCACTCGATTGAACTGTTTTTACAATTCAGATGGCTCGGAATTGGTATCGGTGAAGGAATGTCTGGATATTTGATAGCAAGTATTATTTATTAACATATTATTACACATTTAATGAATAATCCGCTTATCTGTCGATTCATTATAGGTAGCTTGGCTCAATAATGACGGTACAATCACTCTCTCACAACGTTCAGGTGGTATGCCAAATGAACCCAAAGCGACAAATTATCAAAATGATCTACAATTGGTGCCAAACAAAACAAGTGGCATTAGCAATGATAGATTGGTGATATATTTTAGACGTCTTCAAAAAGTTAGAGATAGTGTAATAAATGAAGCTCAAACTTTCGCATGGGCCTACGGCACTACTCGACCAAGTGGTAAAGACCCAAATTCGACCCTTACAAAACATATATACAGAGATAATGCATTTTTAAATTTGGCAAACATGGGCGTAGAGAGCTCGTCGGGTACTCTGTCAACTTACGATAAATTGGTCATTTCTCATGGTAAGGTTTAATAATAAAAGTTTTGTATTGATGTAATGAATATAAGTTACATAGGATTTGACCATAGTTGTTTCTTGTTAATTATGCGCAGCTATTATAATGTTTATGGCTTGGATGGTATTGTTACCTGCTGCTGTGTTTGTAGCCAGATTTGCGAGGTGAGTAATTAACTATTCATCATGCTTATCTCTCTAAATTGCTTATTTATTTAAGAGTTATGCTTTGTTTTTTCAAGAATTTTATCCTTTTGGATCAACTTGCACCGAGGTATTCAAGTTTTCCTTGTAGTTCCTTTTGTTATCTCTGGCAATGCAGTTGCTTATATTGCAGCAGGAGGCTATCAGGCTAGTGACCCCCACAAGGTACTTCATAAAATTTGTCAATAATCATAGTAGTGCCATTATCATTGTTGATTATAATTTATAATATTACAGATCCTTGGCTTGATTCTTTTTATTTGCTTGTTCGTTCAACTGACTGTTGGTGTATTTCATCACGAAATGTATGATCCTTGTCGAAACTACACACCTTGGTGGACTCATCTTCATAGGTAAGTAATTGCAATGACAATTGTCTTTCACCTTGTTTTTCTTACCATTGTTCCTTTTTTATGATTCACAGGTGGTTAGGTCGCGCGATTGTGGTCCTGGCAATATTTCAAGTTCCATTAGGTCTATCACTTTATGGAGCACCAATGTCAATGTTCTATATTTACTATGCCTATGTTTCTGTTACTTTAATTATATTTACAATCCTGTCTGTTAACTTATACCGCGCTAATAGTAAGGGAGATAATAGAGATGAATTTAAAAGAATGGATGACTAGTAACAACTATGTCAGTTTGGATAATATATCTATATAGAAATTTTCACAAACCTATCCTTTTACGATAATTACATATATACATATATGGTTGTTTGGTTTTCCCTGTATACTTATAGAAGCTAGAGCCAGTTGTATAATTACTGATTCATACTGTACTAAATTCAAATTTCCGTAACGTTAAATACGATCAACTATCAATATTGCGGAATCTGAGCTAACCTAAAAATTCCTATACAGCACATTCGTTATACCTACATGACAGAATAGACTTTAAAAAAATTAAATTCTGTTATAAATATATTTCAAGTCAGTTTTTAATGGCCATTGCTCTGATTGGTGCATTATTAGATGTTGCAGCTTATGCTGATATTTAGAGTCCCCATTTAAATCTATAATACCTACTAAAATTCATATATACTCTTATTAATAACGCTAACCCTCAAAAAATTTCAAAATTTCATAATAAACTATATAGATTAAAATTTTGCATCAGTCAATTTCAGTTTCAGTTACCACATTAAATTTGCTATGAATTAGTATCAGTGAAGGGATCATAGTGTTTAATTAGGTAATCTTCTAGCAGATTACAGGTATGGCAGTTAGCGTAGAACCTGCGGGTGGACTACTTAAATAAATAACCAAAAGCTGTATGTGTGGCTAGTTGTACACTCACCTTGTACAAGTTATGTAATCATAATTAAAATACAATAAAGGTAGTAGTCACTGATAATCAATGGTCTTAGTGAAAGCAAAAAAAAAAATATTATTAAAAGTTTATACTATTTTTTTGTTTAAAAATTTTTAAGTAAATTTCTAATTTTTTATTTTCTTATTTTTTTGTCTAATAGTTTTATTGTAAGTTCTACTAAAGTTTTTTGTAATGCTAATAAATATTTTTCTATAACTATATAATATTAAATTTTACATAAATGTTTTAAACTCTTATTTAAATTAATATAATCTAAAATTACAAATATGGAGTGTTATCAATAGAAACAGCCTTTTTTTACATATATCTTATTTTGAAATATTTAAGTTTAATCATTTGTTTTTATTTTTGAACTGATTCAGGATTAATAAATTTCATGATTTTGATTAGTTAAAGGTAGCAGGTGACTATTAGGTAATCTTATGATGTGTTGGCCCTATAAAGCTTCATGTAATTTTTTTTACATTATCTTGATTTTTTATTATGCAAATAAATCTTTATTTATTATTTAAAAATGTTAATTATATCAAAATTTATATAAATCTGATAAAAACCATTTTTCAAAAAATTGTAAAAATGTGTTGTTTTTATTAATAACATCTTATATATTAATTTAACTAATTTTTAAAATATAGTTTATTATAATATAGGTATAATTTTCAAATATAATTATAAACAAAATTTGAATACAAGATCTGTTATTTAAAAGTTGATAATTTATCTATTATATCAAATTAATACATTTCTAATAGTTATATTTATATCTAAAAAAAATATTTTTATAATAAAAAAATATTTATTTTTAAAAAATAATATATTTCTATTATAAAATTTATAATTTCTATAATTTTTTTAAATTTATATTATAAATTTAATTAATTATATAGATAATTTTTTAAATTTTATTTTTTTTAAAAAAATATATAATGTTTTTAATTTATATTAAAATTTTTATAGACATATTAATTTAATAATATAAATAAGTTATCAATCTTTTAATTTATAAATTATAAATTCAAAATCTACTAATATGAAAATTTGGATTTTTTTTTTTAAATATTAAGGTAAGTACATGTGATCCAGGATTTTACTAATAGTATAAGTTGGCTAGCACCTATACATGTACAGACACAGAAGCAATTACAGAAAGAGTGTACAACTAGCCATTCATACAACTTTAGTTATTATTTAATTTAAGTAGTCCATCTGAAGGTTCTACACTAGTTGCTATACCTAGAACCCACCTGTAGATCTTTTATTTAAACACTCTGATCTTGCATCCATCACACCTTATCAGTGACTCTGATAAACTGGTAAAGATATATCATGGTCACTAAGTTATGTTTAACTTTGCACTAAATCTACCAATACATTCTGTATCTTATACTTGCAACTCACCCAGTTATGCTTTGGTCTAAACCATCATTTGCAGTTAGGGCTAATTATTAAATCACTTTTACTCTTGTAAGGTTCATTCAAAATCCTAGTACTCATCTTTCTAACGTTCTCTTCATCATTCCCTACTAACTACTATTTAGGACTGACAAGACTCCCTGAACTTCCAATTCAGATGACCTAGTATAGTATACTTTAGTATCCTTTTCTTCTGATGATTCTGGTAGCCTAGTTAGTCATATGCTCCTTTATATATCTTGCTATTTGGTTTATCCACCTATCTCTTTGAGGGTGTTTCATAAGCTTTCATCAGTCCAACAGCATCATCGAAAGTTTTGTGCTATCTCCTTACTCAGAATTTCCAAGTGGGTTTCCAACTTTTCGGTTCCTTTGC